ACTGAAGCAAAGGGACTTTGGAGAAAGAAAGAAAGAAAGAAAGAAAGAAAGAAAGAAAGAAAGAAAGAAAGAAAGAAAGAAAGAAAGAAAAGAAGGAAGGAAGGAAGAAAGGAAGAAAGGAAGAAAGAAAGAAAGAAAGAAAGAAAGGAAGGAAGGAAAGAAGGAAGGAAGGAAGAAAGGAAGAAAGGAAGAAAGGAAGAAAGAAAGAAAGAAAGAAAAAGACAGACCTCCCAGACGGTAAGGTTACTTGAAGAGCAGAATATGTAATCAAGGACGTTTTAGAATCTCTAATCCTGGAGATTTTTTTTTTTACAGACTCCAAGCCAGAGAGGAGGCCCCCTGAGGAAGCAATGCAGACAGAATAAACCCTTGAGCCCTTTGTAGTCCTCTGTAGTCTATTTTTAAAAGCAACATATCCCTAAAACAAAAGGATACAATACAAAAGAACAGCATTAGTGTTCAAATTGAATACACTCCAATAATTTTTATGTAGGTCACATTTGCTGAGAATTTTCTTAACCATAACAGTTAATCTCTGAGTCTTTGTTTAGGATTTTTACACACAGCAGATATTACAAAGGGCAGATATTATCTGGAATCTGTACTACAAGGCTGAAATTGTGATCAATGAGGGAAAATATGTATAAACCTAGATCCTGAACGCCCAGTGCTAACTATGATCCCGCTCAACTTCTTTGCACTGAAAATGTCCTGCATATAAAAGAGTTCTGGGAGTAGGAGACAGAGACTGAGGTACAGGTAGGGAGAAAAACAGACTCAGAAAACAAGATTTATACAAGGAGAATCAGAGAAACTCATGAAAGAAGGTCAAGCTGGGTCAACCCAAGACCTTTCTGGAACTGTTTCTGGAGCTCCTGGCAGAAATGCTCTTTTTGTCTGGGATCAAATAAATCCCGGGACTGCTGGTGGCCAAGGATGTTGCCATATACAAAGTGCTTGCCTGAGATGGAAAGGAATAAAGAGAAAATACCAGGAGACAGAAGAAGTGAGACAGAAAGCGGGAGGGAGAGAGAGTACAAAAGACCATGCAGAGGTGTGTAAGCATGTCTTGTAAACCTGGATCCAGCCACTCCTGAAGTCTTCTGATTAACCAGTTTTATGAGTCAATGCATTATTTTTTTTTCTTTCAATTAGTTTGTTTCTTTCACTGGAAAGAACCCTAAGTAGAACAGGCATAAGGAAGATGAGGGTGGTGGGGGTTAGTTACCTAAGGAAATGGAGCAGGAACTGAGGACTGCAGTAGGACAAAAGTAAGAACAGTGCCTTTGATGTAGGCAGGACCTATTTGAGGGGAGGAGACCCTTTGAGTATAGAGAGACAGAGTGACATTTAGGCAAACACCAAAAGAAAAATTATCTTTGAAGAAATGGCCAACTTTGACCTCTTGGACAAATGGGCAGCCATGTCCTACCTCTAAAAGGCAATACTCTCTTCTTTTTTGTTTTTTTAAATATTTAAAAAAATTTTTATTTATTTGAGAGAGAGAGAGAGCGTGAGCAGGGAGAGGGGCAGAAGGGGAGGGGGAGGGGGGGAGAGAGAGAGAGAGAGAGAGAGAGAGAGAGAGAGAGAGAGAATGAATCCCAAGTGGGCAACACACTCATCATGGAGCCCAACATGGGGCTTGATCCCAGGACCCTGGGATCATGACCTGAGCTAAAACCAAGAGTCAGATGCTCAACCGACCGAGCTGCCCCAGCGCCCACTATACTCTCTTCTGTATGACGTGGATGTTTCGGGAGGGTGAGAGTCCTGCTGTACTGTCTGGACAAATATTCTACTATGAAAATAATTCTCTGCCAACTTGCTCTACTCCCTCACATTAATAGCTTCCGCATTATACCGAAGCCTGGTATTTACCATACCAAACGATGAACAGGATGCAGAACAAGAAATAAACCTACAATCTTTTCTGGATTTCTTCCCATCCTGCTGAGGATCCATGAGTGCTAGATAAAAGGCTGGCATTCCCTTCATGTTATCCAATCTCTGGATTTGGAAACGCTTTTGTTGAGGTGATCATTTAGTTCACTTTTCAAAAGAATAATAAAGACCTGTCCCTTATTCCCTTTCTAGAGTCACACTGACATGGGGCAATCAAAGTAACCCATTATCAGAGAATTCCCTGCATTGCTCAAATTATAAACATCAATGGGCACCTCTCTTGGGAATTCAAAGAACAGACGAGTGTGGGTGAGCTAGGCTCGTTGTTAGCGGAATAAACCAGGTTTGCTTGGTGCTTTGTTTTAGCAAAGACAACATAAGTAGTGATTATAGTTCACTTGGGTTTTGTACTGATCATCAAAATGCTGACAGTCACTTAAATCACTCACTGGGTGGAATAATCACCGTGAAAGGAACCAAGAGAGTATAACTTATATTACAAAATGGAACTGAGCACAGGAGACAAAGTATTAATGGGTGTGGTCGAAGAGATCTTTGTCAGAATAACGCAAGAATTAGACATCAAGTGTACTAGGGACTCTCAGTGACATGAAGACAACAGCTAAATTGTGCAATTACAAAGTTGAGCGTAACTCAGAGAACATCTTTCTCTTTTTGCAAACAGATGATGCCAGGTTAGCCCGGCAGTGGCTTGTTGTAGAGGTTATGTACTGTCTTGCTGTGTAAAAACCCTTTTAAAATGGACAGAACAGAAATCTGGAATGCTGAGCCACTGAAATAAGCGACTGCATTATTAAACGTTAGATGTTGATGGCCCACCAAGCGAGAGGACCCCTTCCAATCATCACTAATAAGCCAACCCAACCAGCCCGGCATTTGTAAGGGTCAAAGGAAAAACTGGGAAAAGAAGCTCGGGGTCCCTTTAGGGGACTGTTTATTTGGCAATTATCAAAAGGGCAATTAGCTCTGACTTTTCTTTGTGGTGGAGTGGGGTGGGACTGGGAGATAAAACGGATAATTTAGACAACTGCTTGTAACAGATTGCCTGATAATGACAGGATTAACAAGTTGAGGGCCCTTCAAGGATATCTACAGATCTGCGCAGGCCCAACACTGTGCCCAAACTATCAATTCTTACAGATTCTGAGAATAAATATGTATAATTTTATCCTCAGAGAAAAAGTAATGCTAAATAATAAAAAGTATAAAAATAAAAGTATAGTAAAAGTAGTATTTCAAGAGGATTTCTAAAGCAGAGTTTATAATCTTGCTCAAAACCCCTTCCTTCTGTCCATTTTCCCCACCTGCTACTGACCTTCAGGATAGCTACACAATCAGCATGAGACCAGTTAAGCAGTGAGCATTCAAGGGACTCTGAGACTCTCTGGGTCCATATGGCAGGGGAGAATTTACCCCTGTGAGTTTCAGCCACACCTCTTCCCATTCTAGGCTGGAAACCGTGGTTAATCAAATAATGACTTTTCAAAAGACGATGATAATAACTTACACTGAAGTTCAGTCCAAACAATGCAAGTATTTTCTTTCTAATTATCTCCTAACATTAACTCTAATATTAAGTTCAAAGCCGATCGTTTCTTTCATGTTATTGCTGTTATGTTACTTTTTTCTGTTGTTTATTTATGCACTCAAATCTGTCAGTGCCTTTATTCCTTCTTCCTATCATTTTTTCTTTGCTTTTCTTTTTTTTAAAAATTATTTTTTAACATTTATTTATTTTTGATACAGAGAATATGAACAGGGGAGGGTCAGAGAAAGAGGGAGACACAGAATCTGAAACAGGCTCCAGGCTCTGAGCTGTCAGCACAGAGCCCGACACGGGGCTCGAACCCACGGACCGCAAAGATCATGACCTGAGCCAAAGTCAGATGCTTAACTGACTGAGCCACCCAGGCACCCCTCTTTGCTTTTCTTTTAACTGCCTAACACATACTTCTGAACTAATGCCTTAAAAAAGAGGATTTATTGGGGTGCCTGGGTGGCTCAGCTGGTTAAGCATCTGACTCTTGACCCAGCTCAGGTCATGATCTCACGCTTTGTGGGTTTGAGCCCCGTGTCTGGCTCTGTGCTGACAGTGCAGAGCCTGTTTGGGATTCTCTCTCTCCCTCTCTCTCTCTGCCCTACCTCTCCCTTTCTCTCTCTCTCCCTCTCTCTTTCAAAATAAATAAATAAGGGGTGCCTGGGTGGCTCAGTAATTTATGCATCTGACTTTGGCTCAGATCATGATCTCATGGTTTGTGAGTTTGAGCCTCATGTCGGGCTCTCTGCTGTCAGTGTAGAGCCTGCTTCAGATCCTCTGTCCCCCTCTCTCTCTGCTCCTCCCCTGCTCATTCTCTCTCTCTCTCTCTCTCTCTCAAAAATAAATGAACACTAAAAAAGATAAACTTAAAAAAAATTTTAAATTTAAAAAATACTTATTTTATAGTTATTGAATAAAGTTTATGGGCCTTAAAGTTTTCAAATGATGTCTCTCAGAGTCAATGGTCCTCAATGGAAAAAAGTTTCCTGTTTTTATTTCATATCCTATATGTTCCTTTCCTTGAATCCTATAGTTAAGTTATCTCTCATCCATCTCTTTTCGGGAATAACTGTTTTTCCCATTTTTTTATTTCCTAGCACCTTCGTCACTTCTATTATTCTCTTGTTAGACACTTTTTCATTAAAATGAAAACATCAGCTGTGTGCTCAGCTCTGAGATACTGTTTCCATCCTTGAGAAGTTATTGTGAGGAGGGCAAAGGTGTTGCTTTCTATTCCTGAGACACAATGGTGTGTTCTTACACGATTTTATGTTTCAAAGGTTTAACATCAAGCTATGTGAACACGAACCTTTTTTGGCCTTCCACGTCTCACAGGAAAGCCGAGATTACGTCCTTTAGGAGAACCACAAAGGACGTAAGGCACAGCCCAAGCAGAATTCTTGCACGGATCTAGCACAGACCTTCTGACAACCTGGCCTTCCCTCATATGGGGACCTGTACACGCACTCACATTTCCAATGAAACTACTCAGTCTAGTTCCTCTGCTGTCCCCAAAACAGCCGCCATGATAGATACTTACTCTGGGATGTAGAAAGATTGGAGAAAGCTGACTTTGTTCGACCTGCTAACCATTCCAGGCTTTCATGCATGTTGGCCAAAGCTTTGAGGTCACTGACATCACGGAGGATGTCTTGCGGAGGGATTAATTTGTCACCCAGGTTCCCAATAAGAACTTCTGACTCCTTACCAAAGGCTGCCCTGAAAAACAAATCAGAAACATACTTCACACACAGCACAGAAAAGAGAGGGGGTGGGCAATACTTTTTAAGGCATGTCTAGCACTGTGTTATTTGTTATAGTCGCTATTTCATAGCATGCTATCTTTCCTATAAGTTTAGCAAACTACCGTATACCTGCTTAAAATTACTCTAATTGGAGAAAGATGGTTCTTAGAAGAATGAAGTTCCCCTGACACTTATGCCTTCAACAGGAACTGGCATGGACCTGACCTAGACAGTGATGGTCGCTGGGGATGGCTTTGATGGCTGCTCTCTTGTGGGTACGTCCTTGCCTCTTCTGTTATGGATGTTGCTGAACAACATTAAAAATGTACATGGTTGAAGGTTATTGTAATACATAAAACCACCAAGTTAATCAGCTAGAAAATGTTTTAGAATGTTCAAAAGCAAAGAGGGTCCAGCCTGTTAAGAGAGCAGATTATAGTTCAGATGGACAGGCCTCGTTCATTCACTCGCTTACTTGTTCTAAAAGCAATCTGAAGCGAATGAGCTACAAAGCATTAAGCTATGTGTTGTTCGAAAAGAGAAACCAGTAAAAATCAATGCTGGATCCTCTGACTGGAAAAACAGAGTTAGGTGGTCTTCGCACAAATCTGTGTCCTCATGACAGTTTGGTGGTGGCGGGGGCGGGGGTGCTGAAAACCCAAATTCTGTGGGCTCACAGAAGGAGGGGGCAGAGGGGCCCCTGAAGACCATACAGCACTGCCCTTGCACATGTGCAGAAACGGAGGCCCAGAGGTGAACCGTTTTGCCCAAATAACACACAAGGGGCAGAGCTGGGACTCAGTCTAATTCCCACAGTGCCCTTTCTTTCAAAAAGACAGAAGGCTGATGTGACAGAAGACGACCGAGGACGCTAGGGAGAAAAATCTGGTCTTTTAGGGCAAGTTCCACGCAGGTGAGTAAGCAGAGTTGCGGCTGGTGGAGGTTGGAACAGGCACCTGGAGAGTTTTCTGTAAGTCCCAAGGCTTTTGAAACCTCAGAACACCTTAAGTGAGCAGGAGCAAAGGGTTTATTTAAGTAGAACAAACCAAATGAAGTGTCCAGCTGGCAGTGATTAGTAGCAGCTGACATACAGTCAGAAGGATGCTTAATTGACACATAGGCCCGTAGGGCCCAGCACTAGAGCAGACGCTCCACGTTGAGAAAAACGCCTGCTGTGAATTAAATGCTTCATAAAGAAGGTTTACGCTGCCAAGTAGTGACTCGCCATTAGGCTTTTTGTTTCAACGGAGAGTTTCGGACATTTTTGAATGTTTCGCGCATTTTTTAAGGAAGTCATAATTGGCCGAGTCGGGTAAGCTGTGGTCCCAGAGGCAACACGTAGCCAGCCAAGGAACCTCGGAGCGTGCGTACGAGCCTTTACGCAGAGGTAAAAAGGTCTTGGGGTGGGACCCAAAAGTTTGCGTTTCTAACTCGTTTCAGGCCCTTGTCTGGGAAGCACGCGTTCTTTGAGCACAAAGAGTTGCAGCCCAGGCTTCAAAGTCAGAGCAAAGACACATCTGGGGCTGAATTCTCAGTCTGTCATTCACCGTGTGAATCGCCTTCGCTTCTCCGAGCACCGTTAGCTAGGGGCGGTAGTGGTGTCCTCATAGGAAGTAACGTAAAAATAGAGGGGATTTAAAAAGTCTTTACTGGGAAAATTTCAGTAATTACACACGCAGAGAGAAGCGCACAATAACCCCCCGTGTAGCCAATGCTCAGCTTCAATTATTAGCAACTCATGGTAAGTCTTAGTTCATCTATCCTCATCCACTCCCCATCTGCCTTGGAGTATTTTTGTTTGTTTTGTTTTGGAGAGAGAGATTGAGGGAGCTTGTGCCCACGCACATGAGAAAGCGAAGGTCAGGGGTGGGGAGAATCTCAAGGAGGCTCAGTGCTCAGCGTGGAGCCTGACGTGGGGCTCGATCCCACGACCCTGTGATCATGGCCCGAGCAGAAATCAAGAGATGGATGCCTGGGTGGTTTCGTAGGTTAAGCATCTGACTCTTGATTTCAGCTCGGGTCACGATCTCATGGCTTGTGAGTTCGAGCCCCCAGGTCGGGCTCCATGCTGATAACGCAGAGCCTGCTTGGGATTTGTTCTCTCTCTCAAAATAAATAAATAAACTTAAAAAAAAAAAAAACCAAAGAGTCGGATGCTCAACCAGCTGAGCCACCCAGGCGCCCCTCTCCTTGTCTTGCAGTATTTTGAAACAAATCATTCAGGTGATGGTAAGTGCATGGAACTTGGTGAAAGGTAACAAGTTGTAGTTCTATCAGTCTGGCCTGTTGAGATGGCTGGTTTATTTAGTGCCAACCCAGGGTGCGCTACGATGAATGAATTGAAATAGGTGAGTGATCAGAAGTAAATAAATTAGATCTCAAGGGCTCGTTTTACAAGTGGGGCCTTGTAACATCACAGCAAATATCACTGTGTCTCACAGTCCAGACTTGCCAGAATCTCCAAGAGGTAAATTACTGTGACAGAAGCCCCTGGTTGCCGAGCCAGTATCCATTATCCCATATGCCTTCTTAGTAAAAGGACCCTGGTATTGTTGGGGTCAGCAACGTATGCGACTTAAAAACAAAACAAAACAAAACAAAAACGCCCCTCAATTTCCCTGCCCTTTTGGCAGATGTAGCTCTAAACCGAAATCAGGAGGTGGGCTTCCAGGAAAGCTCTTTGAAGAGTCTTAGCTGGCCGGGGCCTCTTTTGCCTTCTCCCTTTCTGGAATGCAGTCGTGCTTCTTCGAACATCAGGTGAGTATGAGTATGAAAACAATGCTCAGAATGATAGAGGCCCAAGTGGGCGGTGTGCGTGCCCCAGTGTCACCACAGAGCTGCGATACGGCCGGAGACAATGCACTTCTGGGCTTCAAGTTACGGGAGGGACAGCGAAACCCTATTTGTTTAAGCCACCGCTATTCCAAGTTTCTGCTACCCGCAACGAAATGCAATTTCTAACTGACACAATGATCTAATTAGCAAACATGACGTCACGCTCAGAGAACTTTTCTGAATTTAGATATCCCTAAAATCAAGTTACAGGGAAAGGCAAAACAATGTCTCCTCCTTGCTTTGAGCCCAGCAGACAGTTATAATATCTTCCCTGTGGCTGTCACTCAGTCAAGTTGTAAATATTTAGTTTTCTTAATCTGTCCTTACGTATCAACTCTCCCAGCCCCTTAATCATCTTTGATAGATACAACACAAAAAAATGCCTCTGAGCTGGGTGGTTAAAAAGCAACAGGGGAGGCAAACAGCTTTGAAAATCAGGCTTGGAGGCATTTTCATGCATGTAGGTGTAACCCTGGGTGCAATGTGACAATCAAGACAAATGTATTTATGTGGAAGTCTAATCTGCTTGGGTGGGGCTCTCTGGGCCCTGGGCATGTCTGTGGTGCACCTTCCAGCACTGGATGCCTATCCCATTTCCCTTTGGCTCACTCCGATTTGCTTAACTTCCTCCGACAGGAGAGCAACAGACTGAGGAAAACACAAACTGCCTCATGTTGAATACATAGTAGACATCTCATTTGACAGGAATCCATAATCACCCCCTAACAACCTGGAGAGAGCACAGAAACCATGACATTGAGGATAAATGATTGACAGCTAAAACTATTTCACACAAGAAATCATTCCTTCGAGGATTTGTGGGTGTCAAAGAGCTTGGTGGATGGTTTTTATGTGTTACAATAACCTTAGGGGATGGCTTTAGTTGCTCGACTGTGGATCTTTTTCTAAACCCTCTAATTTATTAAATAAATTATGGTATATCCACACTGTGGAAAGCTATGCAGTCATTAGAAATTATATAGTAAAAAATACTTGCTACCACAGAAAAATGGTTCCTCTGGCTTATTTTTAACCATGATCTGCAGCCGAGTAAAACAAGCTGTTATAAAACTCTATGATATTAAAAAAGAAAATGATTATGTGTCTATATGAACTAAAAAAGACTGGACTGGATATCTACATACCAAGATGTGCACTGTGTAACAAGATCATGCTTTGTGCGTCTCTGTATTTTCTATATTTTCTCCAGAGAACATGTGTACTTTTTAGTGAAAAACAAAACCTGGGAGGGGCACCTGGGTGGCTCAGTCGGTTGAACGGTTAAGTGTCCGACTTTGGCTCAGGTCATCACAGCTGGTGGGTTCGAGCCCCGCGTCGGGCTCTGTGCTGACAGCTCGGAGCCTGGAGCCAGCTTCAGATTCTGTGTCCTCCTCTCTCCACTCCTCCCCTGCTCAGGCTCTGTCTTTCTCTCTCAAAAACAAACATGAAAACCAACAAACCCAAAAAAAACAAAACAAAAAAACACACCGAAGTTGGTAACCCTACCACAAATGAATAAGAAAATCTTTCAAAGGGCCATATCAAGAATTTTAGCACGGAAAATTGGAAGACATGGATACTATAGTCATTTTAGTCAAACTGGGAGACAATGACCGGTCGGCTGGTCTGAAGGCTGGTGTGGGCTGTGGCTCCAGGTTTGCTCAAGATGAGTCACTGTCCACCACTGAGGGTCTCACTGCAAGAATGCCTACCACCCAGCATCTGGGCCAATATTTCCAGATCCAAATTTCTACTCACTCTTCCTCTCCTGCTTGCTGTGTAAGCACATTAATTAAGGAGCACATGATGTATATTTGAGTGAAACGGCAACAGAACAATCATTACCTTGAGAAGGTGAAGTAACAGAAATTCAGAAGTAACAGGCACCCGCTAATTGCCCACAGACCATTTGTCACAGCTGGGAACAGGAATCAGAACTCAAAGCTGTGTGTTTTAGGTACTGGGGCCCGTGTGAGGCGCCACCTTCATCATCAGTAGGCCAACACGCTCGCGTAGGAGCCCATGAAAACCACAGAAGTGTCAAGCCTGTTAAGCTTAATTTTAGCACACAATTATAATCTTTAAAAGCTTGATCTGACAAGAATTCATTTAGGAGATTTTGCCAAGAGTGTAAAACCTGTTTAATTTAATTTTACCACACAATTATAATCTTTAAGGAGGTCTATCTGACAAGAATTCATTTAAGAGAATTTTGCCGGAGATGCTGAAAATTGTCTCCGTTTAGTCTTTAAATAGTTCTGTTATCCGCTGAAATCTTAGCAAGGCAAAAAAAAAAAAAAAAAAAAAAAAAAAAAAAAAAAAAAAAAAAAAAAAAAAAAAAAAATCTGCATTTTCAGCAGACTAAATGCATTTCTGAAAGAAACACTGCAAATAGTTTCAACATGATTGACCTGCAGATCTAGGCTATGTTTGATCACATGACATTGTATACTCAGACTCACTGCTTGCTCTCCCAGCAAATCTCCCCCAGTCTCCCACAGCGGCTTCACCCCAGCCGTGTAAGAACTGCCCCAGGAGTCAGGGAAACCCTGCCAGAGTGCACTCCTCTCTGATCCAGGACAGGGCAGGGAGGAACCAGGACTGGCTCATATAGCGAACCAGACTCACGCAGACTTCTTGCACCTTCGAAGGGGCAGTGTTGTGCCCCCACGCTGTAAGAGCCCCTAACTGCTTCCCCTGCCTGAAATGTTTCCAGAAGTACCGCTTTCCTCAAGGTCTTCCTCAACGATCCTGCTAATCCTGTTCGACCACGTTTCTGGCCAAGAAACTCATTTTGCAGCAAAAGAAGTAAGGCAGAGCTGATGCTCCCGGAATTCCCAATTCCCGTCTTGTTGCATACCCAATCCCCCAGGGGTGGGGGGGAGCTGGCCTGATGGAAGGGTTGGCCTATGTAGGATTCAGCTATGGTCCAGCTGGAAGGCAACACCTCTAAGGCTGGAGTGCTGAGGGCCTGACTCAGAGACCCACATAGAGTATTTTTCCCCCCAATGACAAGAAAATATGGGTCTGGGGACTAAGGAATAAAAGTAGCAATGGGCTCTCCTCTCTTATGGAGGGTCTACTCTTGCCTCACCCCCCCCCCCCCACGTGGCACTAGGCCACTTTTCAGGTGTTCAGGAAGGAAGGTCTCCACCAGAGGATACAACAATGACCACATTAAATTGGTAGCAGAGACTGTCATGTGGTTTTCTGGGCTTCTCACTACTGAGCCCGCAGGCAGAGTGGCGTTACTTTGATGCCTGGAATGACGGGCCTCAATTGCCAAGAGGGGGACATGTGTTGCTTCTGCACAATCAGGGCGGGCAGGACTACGTCAGATTCACTGGGCTCCATCTGAGTGTTTCCATGTCCATGGTGAAATTAGTGGAAAAACCAGGGCAGCCTAATAAAGGCAGAGCTGCTAAGAACTCAGGTCTCTCTGGAACAAAGGCTCTATTCAACACATCCAGGTGGAGGACCCTGACCACCTGAGGTGCTGGCAGAGGGCGAGGGCACCATGGAATGGGTGGTTAGAAAAAGGAAGTCATCAATATCATCTGCTGCTTCTGACCAGTTACAGGGGCTGTGGCAGCCTGCATATTTACGCATATATCAGCCAATGGTTTCTTTTTGTTTTCCACTCCCCCTACCACATTTTATTTACAGTAAAATATACATAACATGAAACTGACCATTTAACCATTTTTAAGTATACGGTTCAATGGCATCAAGTACACTCACCACGTGCCATCATCGCTATCTCTTTCCAGAACTTTTCCATCATCCCAAACAGAAACTATTCCCATTAAACAGTAACTTTATTGCTGGACGGCTGGATCATAGGGTGATTCTGCGTTTAGCTTTTTCAGGGACTACCAAAATGCCTTCCACAGTGGCTGTACCATTTTACATTCCTACCAGCAATGCACAGGGGGTTCTAATTTCTCCATATACTTGCCAAAATGTGTTATTTTCTGGTTTTAAAATTTTTAATTAATTTTTAAATAACAGCTGTCCTAATGGGTGTGAGGTGGCATCTTCCCCACTCGTTTTATATGAGGAACTGGTAGTGATCAACATTCCAGTTTCATTCAGAGGTCACCAGATAGGAGAAGTCACATCTGACTTGACCAGGAAGGACACCGGAAATCCTAGACTTGAGATTAACACACTGAGTGATGAGACAGACTCTCCCTTTTTGGGGGAGAGGGGGAAGGAATGCCTTAATAGGATGAATAGCAGCCTGGATGAAGCAGAAGGAAGAAGTTCTAAGCTACTGGCATAAAGGTAACAAGGATACAGAGTAACAAGTCCCAGGCCTGTTTACCCTAAGATCTATTCCTCACCTTTCCCTTCTCTGATCTATACTGGGGGTGGGGGGCAGGCAGGGGCCGACCCACCCTTGTAGGCTGTTTTCCAGGTTCCCAGCTGGGTTCTGACAATGGGAGGCCCTAGGTCGGGGATGTTGACGGCCAAAGGCAAGGCGAAGGCAGGGCACTTATCCCCCTCCCTCTCGCCTTTGGGCGATGTCTCTGGCAACAGATGCATCTCCTTCCTGGCTCCAGATCTGACCAGGCCCCAACTTACTTTGGGTGCCTCTGTGTTCTGGTAAATGCCTCTCTCCTTTGGCATTCTGGCTAAAGGGAGATCGTGGCTTCTTGCCGTTGGGTCATTGTAATGTCCCTGTTTGATACATCCTCCTTAAAATGTATAACCAATTCCCTGCATTAAATTCTCCTGGAGGTAAATAGTTGACATGGTTTCTGTTTTCCACATTAGACCTTGACTTACATAAGACCCAATAATGATGTTTTACCATATTCAATGCTACTGGGGATGGAGTCAATTATTTGGCTTGGGAATTAATTAGTTCTGTTGTGTAGGCAGAGAAACTGAGACTGGTTAAGGTGACCTGTAGGAGATCACTTAGCCGTTATCTGTCAGAGCCTAAACCGATGAAGGTTATAAAAAGGTCAGGTCATCTACCTCGATTCCTAATAATACCGACTGATTCTATTGAGATGTGACAATGACACATCCATTTATCACTTCTGCTTTTTACAACTGCTCAATCTTCAACCCTTTCAAAACTTAATTTGTCTGTGTCAAAAATAATGCGGGTAGTACCATTCTGATGGGTTCTTTAATCAGGTTTTCAAAAACTGTTTTTCTAAGATGATCTTGGCTAAACCCTCATAAATAAGAATAAAACAGCCCAGTTATCCTGATTACAATATTATTTTTTTCCTCCTAGAAAATGCTAAAACTCATCACTAAATCTCCCCTTCAATGGTTTTGCATGCATGTTCGTTTCATCACACACTCTCACGTGAGTAGCTATTTTTCACATTTAATAAGTAATTGCTCTTCTTCAGAAATTTGTCTCCATCAATAATCACAATCAAGGATTTTTGTCGTTGCCTTTCTTTGCCTACCATTCCTCTGCCTTATAAAAACTTGCAATGCTCTGGCCTGGCTAGATGGGGCTGAGAAGTCCACAAATCTGTTCAGAGACAGAACTGGGAAGGAGTCCGGGAGGGGCCTTCTCCACAAGCAAGGTGAATATTTAAAATATCAGCAACTTTTCTGCTCCTGGGTCCTGCTTAGGACTTAGAAGAGCATTAATTTATTGTTACTTTTTTTTTTTTTTTTTTTTTTTTTTTTTTCCTGGTCGCAGGGAAATTGTAGTTTCTGGGTTTCTACTCCTGGATGACAGCCAGGAAAAATTAATCATGACCATCTTGGGGGCGGGGGTGGGGGTTTGACCACCAGCTCTTTCTCTTGTTTCTTTAAATCTGCTTGCTCACTGAGACAGGAACCAAACACTAGACTCATGGATTTCTGATATTCTGGCCCTGAGAGGGATCTCGGCGGGTAGCGAAACCAGTGGTCCTCTCTCTGGCTATACCTTAAAAGCTTAACTAGTAAAGCATAAACAAAATTCCCCATGCCAAACTCCATGTGCAACAATTCTGATCTAATTGGTCATGGGTGGGGCTCAGACATGGACATTTTTAAAAAGAGTGGCTTTACTGGAATATATTTCCTATGTTGTAAAATTTACCCAGTTAATATGAGCAGTTCAATAGTTTTCAGTCCATCACAGTTACGCGACCATACCACAATGTGGAACATTTTCATTACCTCAAAAACAAACGCTGTCTGTACCCATTAGACTTTATACTTAATTCCCAACCCCGACCCTCCAGCCCCAAGTAAGCACTACTCTACCTTCTATCTCAATAGATTTCCCTATTTTGGACTTCATCTATATTCATATAAAAGGAATCATATGGTAGGTCGTCTTTGTGACTGACTTCTTTTGCTTACCATGTTTTCAAGGTTCATCTGTGTTCATTTCTTGTATTACCAGATAATAGTCCATTGTATGGATATGCCACATTTTGTTTATCCATTCATCAGTTGATGGACATTAGGGTTGTTTCCACTTCTAGGCTATTGTGAGTATTGTTGCTATAAGCTTTCATGTAGACATCTTTGTGTGGGGGTGTGTTTTCATTTCTCTAGGTATATACACCTGGGAGTGCAACTGGTGGGTCATATGGTGACTATCTTTAACCTTTCAAGGAAATATCATATTGTATTCCAAAATTGCGGCACCATTTTCCAGCTGTATATGTGGGCTCTGATTTCTCGACACCCTTGCCAACTGTTGTTATTATCTGTCTTTTTAAAAACTACAGTCATCTTAGTGTATGTGGAGAAGCATATATCTCAGTGTAGTTTTGATTTGCATTTCCTTGATGGCTAATGATATTGAGCATCTTTTCATGTGTTTGTTGACCATCTGTATATCTTCCTTAGAGAAATGCCAATTGTGATCCTTTGTTCATTTTTTAATTGGGTTATTTGTCTTTTTATTATTGACTCATCCATTTGTTAGCAGATACATACGAGGAATCCACCATTACCCAGGCTCTTAGATCCTGTGGTGGGATCAAAACCCACTAGAATAATTTCATAGTCCGCTAATATGCCATAACCCAGAGTTTGAAAAATACTGTGTTAAGTTGTGCCTGGCTCTATGAATGTGTTCCTTGACTGGGTTTCCCAAAGATGGTGAACATTTATGAAGCATTTTATAGGGAAACTAAAACACACAGAGGAAGATGTGTTCATTTGCACACTGTAGCAAAAGTGTGAACAGTTTCTGTTCTTAGTTTACTGATCAGGGCCATAATAAGCCACACTGCCCCTCACAAGTTACAGTAGCTTTAGGGTTTCACTTTGCCCAGGGATTCCACAGCCCTCAGTCTTGCTGCCTCAAGACACACAAAAATTGCTTCTTATCAAGGAATTGGACTTTCTTGAGCACTCAACTCTCAAGTAGTGCTGAAGCAGGGGAGACACACATCTGTCAAATCTCAGAACAGGCTCTTTTCTACTTTGTAAAACCAAGTCTAATCACAGGAGTCCTTAAAAGTGGAGAACCCTTCCTGGCTGTGGTCAGGGAGAGACATGATGATGGAAGAAGGTCAGAGAGGTGTCATGTTGCTGCCTTTGAAGAAGGAGGAAGGAGACCAAAAAATGAGGGTGGCCTCTAAACGCTGGAGAAGGCGAGGAAATGGATTCTCCCTTAGAACGTTCAGAAAGGAATGCTGCCCTGCTGCCCCACTGAGACCTGTGTTAGACTTCTAGCCTACAGAACTGTAAGAAAATGGATCTGTGTTGTTTTAAGCCACTAACCTTGTTGTGGTAAATTGTTAATGCACGCATCATAAAATGAATATATGTGGTAATGATGTGCATGTGTTAGGCGAGTGCCCTTGTCCTTGGGAGATGCACGCTCAAGTGTCTAAGAGTGAAAGGGCACCATGTCTTTAGCCTACTTTTGATGGTTTGGCAAGAGAGAAGTATGTGCATTTATTTCGGAGAGAATGGAGTAGGTATGGCGAGATGTGAACAGTCAGTAAATCTAAGTCAAGGCATACATGCATTCATTGGACTGTTATTTCAACTTTTCTGTGAATTTATCAGTAGAAAAAAAAAAGTTTAAGTTCAGGAAAAACAAAAAAAGCGAGAAACAGATGGATAATTGTGGCGCTTTTCAAAATCACTGCCCAAAACATTTTCTAGGAGAGCAATCTCTTAGGAATCACTCCCTAGCTGGATCCCTTGACAGGGCTTTTTAAGTTTCTTGCCAGTGCACCGAGTTTCTGAAAACGAAGGTTCAATACAAGGTATAACATAACATGTATGAGGACACTTTAATGTGCCAAATTAAAAACTTGAACAATATTACTAAAGCAATCAGAACTGTTGCGAACTGTCTTTGCCATTCTCATTTCAAATCTGGAGAGAGAAAATGCAGAATGACAGCCAGTTATGTTTTGACATGTTTAATCCACGCAGGCATAAATGCATAATTTCTTCTGTCAGTCCATCTTTCCGTCCTTGTATAAGAATTCTGGAGTCGTTTATGTGTTGTGTTCTTCAGGGTGAGCACAGAAAAACTATTATGCTCAGATAAGTCTCTTCTCGAAAAAAATGGCTTAGAGCCACCAAGGTGATGGCGGGGCAAAGGCACCATTCTGCTAAAGGCAGTTTCACCTCCATGAGGGTTCCTTGTCTAAAAGAGAGCCGTGAAACCATCACTCTTTTCATCATAAAGCCTATAGAGGCTGGGTTGGGAGCAAAACACTGGGGTTCAAATAGTGAGTCTCTCTCTGATTAGAGGCCAAGATTGTAATCACAGGTCAATGTAAGTGACTGGGTGATGAGTCCCAGTACACTATGGAAATTCATTATGTACAAACAAAACACAATAAAACAAACCTCTGATTCTATTTGACTCAGAACTGCATTAAGTCTTATGAACAAGAATTCTTTAAATTTTCTCTGTAATTATAGTTTAATTTCTCATTTTTCTTCTCTAGCAGCATTTTATTCTTTTGTCTGTATTACTAACAATATATTCTATACATTAAACAGTTGGCTTGTTTATTTCTGGCTAATTTCCTATCGCTAATGTAAAACTGCAGCTCAGAATATAGGTGAACAGTTAAGTATTTTCACTCTGCTATGGGATGAAATGTATTCCCCCCGCCTCCCGAAATTCATGTTGGTAAGGCCCTAAGCCCCGAAGTGATTGTATTTAGAGATGGGATCTTGGAAGGTAATTAAGTCATGAAAGTAGAGCTCTTATGATGGGTTAATACCCTTATTATGAAGAGACATGAGAGAGATCTCTCTTTTTATCTCTGACATGTGAGGATATAGCAATAAAATGGGCCTGTGCGAGCCAGGAAGAGAGCTCTTAATTGGCTGACACCTTGATCTTGAACTTTCCAGCTTCTGGGACTAGTTAGTTAAACAACTATTCTGTTGTTTAAGCCACCAATCTACGGTGTTTTGTTATGGCGGCCCGAGCTAATACATACCCCCTACACTAAGACTCCTATGCTACCCTTCTCTTGTTTCACTCCAAAACTTGTATATGAAGTAGTCCATGAGTATAGACATCCTTTCATTCAACAAGCATTTACTAAGCAACCACTGTGCGACTCATTCTAGGTCTGACATTCAATACCCAAATTCTAGACCAATGTTACTAGCTAAGTACTCTGGCCATTAACCCTATACCTTTGACATCAGTGCTGAATCCTAATTTGACTAGGAACTTGATTTCAAAAGCCTTTCAGGCACCCTCTGTTTTTATGACAATGTTTTTCTGGAAAACAATAGTCATAAAAGAATTGACTGAATTTTCTTATAATATCAGCTTAATAATTAAAGGCTGTGATTCAGAGATATCAAAAAAATGATGAATGTTTGCAAAAAACATTGCAAAAAAATTGCAAAAAAACATTGCAAAAAAATATGTCATAAATGTAAACATACTAAAACTAGAACCCTCAGTACCTAAAAAATAGTAAAATTATGCTAAAAATTCTACAAAATGGACAGAATGCACTAGGTGTACTGATTACACAGAGGGCTCCATCTACTCTAAAATATAAATTCACGGTATGAAAATACGATTCTCCTGAACATTCAGCATGGCCTAATGTAGTGTACGTACACACACACACACACACACACATACACACACACCTGCTCACTCACTCACTCACTCTCCGGCCTGTAAGTTCTAGAGAGGAGAGACAGAGGTGCAGAGTCATTTAGAGAGGACTGTCATTTAGAAAGGAAGGACAGAGGTGCAGAGAAGTGAGGGAAGCTGGTTAAAGACACAGAGAATTAGGGGCAGAGTGAGGATGAACCCAAAGCTGAGTCTCCAGGGTTTCCCCACATTCTGTACCCCCTTGTCAGACCCAAGGAGACGAGTACACTGATGTAACAGTGGGTAGG